GGTCGGGCTAGAAGATCTACTAGGTCCCTTCCGACCCTTAATCTATGAAACTATGAAACTATAAATTTGCTCATGAACAATTGAAAAATGGAAAAAACCAGGAGTTAGGGGACATGCCAGCTACCTGGAATAATTTTTCCAACTCTAGATATAAGGACTGGCTTATTGCAGATGGGTGGATGCAGCCAGACCTGTTAGGTGGATGAGTGCAAGACAAGTGACAACCCTCAGGAAAAGGTGTAGCTCTGAGGTCTGGATTAAATGTGCCCAGTTTCCCTCTAGTACAGATATCACCTAGATAGGACCTACATTTTTCTTTCCAGCCCTGGGGTATATTTTTAAAGGAAGTTAAAATTACCTGGTTGCTAGCAGCCCCTGCTTCTGCAGTTACTGTGTGATAGACCCCTCCTAGCACCCCTCACCCTTTCCAGCCTGTTTCTATACTTTATTGCTGCCATCCGCAGAACTCTGGTCACCAGGGGGAAGGTGAGAAAAACACAAGAGTGCCTCGTGACCATGACTTTCATCCATCCCATGGCTTGAGAAATGGGAGTTAGCCTTGAACACAGATGGCATACAGCCCAGCTGTAGGGGATCTGGGCTGGTATCTACCTATATGCTAATCATGACAACTCACACACAACAGTTTAGATGGTATCTTAATCAGATAATGGGGTCCACGAAACTTAGCACTGATAACTTCTCCTTGGTTAAACCATTAACTGGTGCTGCACACAAAGGGACTGAGCTGTTTTTGACCCATAGCTTCAGAAAGCCTGGGCTCATGGCCACTGACATCAGTGGAGCTGGTCCTGATTCTCCAGGGTACAAGGGAGAGCAGGAGCAGGCCTGTTGCTGCTTTTGGTTTAAACCAGTTTTGTTGAGCTTTTCCCTTTCCAAGGTGAAGAGTCCTAGCCTTTTTAGTCTCCCCTGGTATGACAGCTACTCCATATCTCTAATCATCTTGGTTGCCTTTCTCTTGGGGCCAAAATTTGCAAAAATGTACTCACAAACTTATTAAGATCATTATTTTGAGCCACACATATTTAGCAAACCAGGTCTGATGAATATAGTACAATAACTATTGTTAGTAGAGTCATCAATTTTATCAATAGCTTCCAGTAATTGTTCTTATAAGTATTTGCACTATGAAGGGGAATTTGTCATACACAGTAGAGCTACATGTATTCTTTTGCAGAAGGAGACCATGTCCCCAAGACAATATTTAAGAAAGATAAAGATTGTATCTTCCACCTCCTGGCACACTCCGTTATTAATCAACATAATTTCAGCAAGACAGTGCTCTCTGTTCTTGTCCTCTCTCCTAGTGGAGTCTCACTGGGTGGAAATAACAGAGGATGGAAAAGTGCACTCAGGATAGGTTAGAGTCAAATTCAAATGATTATACCTTTGTTTACAGGCACGGGTGACAACCTGAATTTTATGACTGTGAAACTAAAATGAATTTGATAAGTAGTTGTGTTCCAACAGATGTGTAAATAATCATATCATTCCCTCTCTGCTAGGAAGCAATAATCTGCTCCTTGAATAGAGAAACTACAGGTCCAAAGGTAAACAGATGGCAGCGATATAAAGTTATAATAAAAGCATAACAAAGCAAAATAATTAGAGCTGTAAGAAGCGCTCACTTCTGTTATGCATTTACATATTCAGAAGCCAAACATGCTTGTAGGGATAAAGATGACAACAAGGAAAGCAACAAGACTCCTAAATCCCGTCTGAGCTAAAACATAGTGTCCCCATTGTCTGGCAAAAATGCAGTTGCCTCATTTTTAGCCAGAGAGCAGATTGTACTGACAGGGTTTGGGTACAAGGTCTGTTGCCACAGTACTTTACCCTGCTTTTAGCACCAATGCAGCTGCATCAGCACAGGGAGACAGTGGCAACATTTCCTGCTCAGTTGTGTACTGTTTGTCTGCTTTGCTTCTACAATGGGCTGCCCTGAACTGAGTGCAAAATGGCTACTAAATGCCATGCCCAGGCCGTGTGCTCAGACTGGTTTCCTAAAAGGAAGCTGTGCTCATGACTCTTGCCCACCCTTGCTCTTAACAGTTTCTATGGTGTCAATGGTACAGCATGAAACAGCAAGGTCAAAGAAGTGAGCCCACCTCTGAAATTCCTTTGTGGGCATGGACAAATCTAATATTTTGAAAAGGGGAGTGCAGATGGTCCGGTGCATCACCACTTATAATGCATCACATATTTTTCTCCAGGTAAAAAGAAATGGGAAGCTCTACTAGTATGCTAGAGGTCAACAGCTATATTATTCAATTTAAGATGAAAGCAAAAACTAATATAACTTTATTGGAATGCACATTAATTTGCTATATCATATATTATGTATTATAAAAACAAAGCAAGCTGGGCACAAATAATCTAAAGATGTTGCTTTTTTTAATCTTGTAGTCATTAGAATAAAATGTACATCTCTTTCAGTTTCATAAAAGAAAATCAAGCCTTCTCGAGCATCTTGGCAGTGCATCCAATGCTTCACTGAAAGAGATTTTCACGCCTGAGTGAATATTCACCTGAATTAATGTCTTTAGGAAGAGATAACAGTCTTCAGGGCTGTGAAACAGAAGAAGTAGGAGCTACATTATCAAGAGCAGCTAACAGACAGCAGAATTGCAGAAGAAAGAATACTTGCTTAGTGGAACATCAAGACCATTACAAAGGAGAAAGTTCGTTAACACCTGTGGAATGAAGAGTGTAAAAGGAACCGTGTGGGTTCATGTTTGGAAAAGATAATGCATATGTAGAAGTTATTCAGACTCATGGATTGCAATCTTCAGCTTTCCACAGACCCTGCATTGGGTGATGGGGAAAGAACAGGACACAAGAAAACACAGAGTGGAAGTGTCACATCCACGAGCCACCAAACCGAGGGCATTTGCCAGCCTTCCGCATTCTTTTGTTGAATCTGTGATGATCAGCTTGCTGTTTTCAAGAGATTCAGGGGCTGCTCTGCAGGGGTTTCTGCTTCATGCAGCTAGTCAGAAAGAAACAACAAAACAGCTGCGTGAGTGCCTGCCATCCGTTCAACTGCAGCAGGGAACAGACCTATTTGTCATGTTCATTATTTTATCTTGAATAAGCTTCTGCTGCCTCATTTCCTCTCCCTTTGTGAACCATTCTGCTCCTATTTGCTTCGTTGCTCCTTGCATTGTGAACTCTTCAGATAGATCTTTCATCAAATAATGTGCTGAAATCAGAGTGAGGGTCCCTCTTCAGGGTGGACAACTCCACATGCAGTCAGTCACATCCCCTCTCCTGTTCTGTCTCCGGCCCCTGGTACAATCAAAAGGAAAGAGACATAGCGATGCCCCTCCCAGATGTGTTTACAGCAGGGCCAGGCAAGAGAGTAGTTCCCTAATGTAGTGTGTTCTCCGTATTCCACTTTACAAAGGAAACTTGGTTCAAGGCCAGAGGGCAGCAGTGTCAACACCTGGAGGGACAACTCACATTCACACCGAAGGTATGCAGCTTTGTGCTGACAAAGAGCCTTTGCTCTCAGGGAGAATCTCGCTGGCACAATTATACTCTTCCTATCCTGACTCTTAAGGTAAAATAAAAGAGAAAGGCAGGGCAGGGTGAGCTCCTTCCAAGGCTCTCACAGCTCTCACAGCAAAGCCGGTAACACATCTAGGCCAAGAAACCATTAGCTAAATAAGCTCACCCTGCACAGTGCTCTGTGTGGAAGTAGGAAGATGTTCTTAAGAGATGGAGAAATCACAAGTTTCTCCCAGTCCTCATGCTCTACATGACGTAGCCCCCCGATTTGCTCTGAAACCACATGCTTGACATTGCAGTAAATCTTTAAGAGGGGGGTTCTGAAAGGAACAACACTGAGCTCCGTTTAGAACCCAATTTGAAACAAAAGAGGGTTTTTTTTAATGAACCCTGACATTCCTTCACAGATTTGCAATATGATTGATGATTAGGGGTGCTGACAGACATTCACGCCCCCCCAAATCATGGTGCTTTACATAAAACTGCCCCTCTCCCTAGCTCTGCTCACCCCCAGCTCTGGGGCTGTCAGCAGGGAGGGAGGGAGGAGGAAGGAGAGGGCAGATCCAGCCTGCACCCTCCAGCTCAGGCCCAGCAAAGCCCAACCAGCAGTTCGCTGCTGCTGGCTTCCCCCCTTCTTCCTTCCCGCTCCCTCCTTGCTCGCAGCCCTGGGGGTGGGACTGGGCTGAACTTGCAAAAAATTAACCCTCAGGAACACACATTCCCTAAGGCACTCTAAAGCAGAGTGCCTTCATCTGATATCTCATTTGAGAAGGGTACATTTTTCTCACGATCAGCCACTTTAGAAGTGCTCTGCAGTTGTGCGTGTGTGTCATGGCATGGCTGTACAGCGCTGTCAGAGGCCTGATCGCATGAAAAATGTAGCTTCTGTCTGTGCCTTAGACAATTTATACATTCAAGTTACCTAAGGGATGGGTAAACTAGGACCTTTGTGGAAAATGTAGCCATTTTTCATTCATAATATTAGTTTTCAAGTCTTCTAGTACAGAAGAAGCAGGTCTTTACTATTCTCCTGCTAATTCATAGAATAGCACAATTTGTACTTCCTAGGTCAGGACATGACTAGTTTTGGGAATTGATTACTGCTTCCAAAAACCAGGATCCCAGTGGCAGGTCGAGATGTTTTTGTTCTAGGTGAGGACCAACTAGCTGATACCCAAAGTGCCTCTGAATTCCTGAAGGTGGGATGAAGCAATAGCCCTCTCACTAGTTGATTTTGCTGTGCTATGAATACAAAGGAAAATGGATGTATATTTTAGCTTCCTTCAAGCCAAGAAAGAGTTAAGAATCACAGGACTAAAGTATGTATGATAAGGATTAAAGATCAGCTAAACTGACAATCTGTGAGCCACCAGAAGCTGGCTGCAGTTGCATTTTGACCTGTGCTCCTGAATATAACAGGAAAAAGCTGTTGCTGGTCCAGACAGAGAGGGGATCACAATAGACACATCAGCTCTGCAGAGGGCACCGTCTGTTTTAATTACAGCAGACATGGAGGTGATATTTGGTAGAAATATAGAAGAGCACCCAGAGCCCATTAAAGCAAAGGTGAAAGGTAAGCAGAAGAAAAGCCGTTCCAAAAGGGGCAGGTGGTTTTGTGTGTTCAGTTATAACACTTGCTTCCTCCTGCCATGGCCGCACTAAGAAGGGAAGCTGGTGGCTTGAGAGAGAACAGTGAATATTTGCCTAGATGATTCAGATCAGCTTTTATTTTTGTCTTATGGATGTTTCCATGAGGACTTTTCTTGAAAGCTGGTTTGAAAAGGATTCCCAGAAACTTGTGCTGATGGATGTGGCCAAGGGACTGAGTTCAGTGATTTTATTCTGTGGTTTTATTTCTCTGCTGCAAGCCCTCTTTAGCCTCTCTGTTTACTTTCTCAGCTGCGCCACTGATACAACATTTCCTGGAAGTGGAAAAAGCAACTTTTGTGACGCTGTCCTTAAATGCAAAGAGAAAGATGGACATGTCTGGTTTCAAGTTGTTCTGTTACAAAGAGGTCAAAGCAACCCAGACAAAAGCGAAAATTGGTGATTTCATAGAAAATTCCTTTTTTTTTTCCAAGAGTGCACCTTTTGTGATGTCCTTTGAGCCACTATCGTGTATGCAGTCAATATGTTTGCCTTGACATGTTTTACCTTGCACAAGGGAGTGTTTACAGTGCAAATGGGCGAGGGGTATGGTGAGGTGTGGGTTTGTTTGGGTTTTTTTGTCTTTGTCATTTAATTTGGTAATGAGCATTTGCAGTCAAAAAAGAAACTCTGGAAGAGCCCAAATCAGTGTAGAATGCCCTCTGGTTTTGGCTTTTGTTCTTTGGTGTGGAGCAGGGGCAGGCAAAATACGGCCCACAAACCAGGTGCAGCCCACCAGGCCATTCTATCTGGCCCACAAGGCCCCTCCAAAAAACAATTATTCCTGGCCTGTGCTGCAAGCCCCACGTGCTGGCACAGAGCCAGCCTGGTCTGGCTTGAAAGCATACACCAGTGGGCTGAGTCAGGTTGGCTCCATGCCACCATGTGCAGCTCTCAGGGCTCAGCCAGAGCCACACACAGCCAGGTTGCACTGCCTGCCGCAGCCACGAGCACCCCAAGGGCCCACTGCCTGCTGCTGCTGCTGCTGCTCCTGCCAGCGGCAGGAGCTGTGCGCCATGGGGGGCATGTGGTGAGGGACCCCACAACCCCCACCCCCACAAACCCCACACCCACCCATTATATTTTGGAGTAGGTAGGGTAACATCAGTTCTAGCCATGGTGGTCCAGAAATTATACAAAGCAAGGATTTCTTAGGGTGATCTCTTTTATCAGGCCAATTGTGTAGCTGGGACAGAGTTAGACAAGGCTTTCTTCTTCAGAAGCAGAACATGTTTGAATGACAGGCTGGTTAGAAGTGTGTGACCAACTGGCTTCTTTTATTGGGTCCAGACAGCCCAGCTTCCAGTGCTGTGGCAGTCATGAGAGGTGGTTGGGCCCTGGCCTGTGAGCCAAGGTTACATATTGACTTTCCAATGTCTTAAGTGGGTTTGGAGAGAGCACTATGGATCATAATCATTGCTGCCACCCAAAAGCTGTCTTGAGAGAGAGCACAACTTGCTGTTCTACTATTCAAACATGAGTATTAGGTAAACACTCTCACTCCATAAGCTATTTATACTAAACTAGTTCAGCTTGTTTATACTAAAGATACTGCTGAGCTACAATTATGTCTCTAACTCCAACAGGCTGGCTCTCTTGCAATATATCATTTCTTGAGCACTTACATTCCTCGTGTGCATTTTCCTTTGCATTCCTGCCTCGATTATCTTTTCTTTGTCCTTTCCCCATGTATCTTCCACAGTATTCTTCACCGTCTGGGTAATTCCAGGCCTGGAAGACCAAATCTTTCCTGGCTTATGGCAAAAAGAAATCCTGTCAATTGTCCTGGAGCTTTGTGTTTGAATAAGACAAGGATCAAATCACAGAAAATGAGGGTTGGAAGGGACCTCAGGAGGTCATCTTGTCCATCCCCGTGCTCAGAGCAGGACCATCGCCAACTGGACCATCCTAGGTTTGGCGCTTAATGTTTTCAGGATTTGAACACTTTCAATAACATACCGTATTAGCTGTTTCACCCAGAGCATAAACACGATGCTTACAAGGTCAAGGTTGGAAGTACGTGGTTTCAGTGTGTGTGCCTGCTCACCCGTATTGTATACAGACTGCAACAGAGTTTTCCAGTTCAGTCACACTTAATAAAGAATGAAAGCAACTCTCTGCTCCTCCAACCCCACTATATGCCTTAACCTGATACATTTTTTTCATCCGTCCTTTGCTCTATGTCTTGGACACACTGCACTAACACATATGTTATATAGCTCTTCCTGGGAAAAAAAGGTGTTCGGGTAAAGTGTGTGTCCTCTTACCCTCCCTTACCTATTTCTCTTTTCTTCTCATTGTAATCCTGTACTGAACACACACCAGCTCAAAAGAATCAGCCTGTTACACAGTCTCAGAAAACAGAATATTTTGGAATTCTGATAAGAACTATCGAATATGCATCTGTTGTTTGTATTATAGTTTTTCCCTCCATCTGCTACCCCCAAGGAATTTAAACCCAGGGCCATATGAGGGTGTGTATTCATCTGTGCACGCAATGTTAGTCAAGTAATCTTGGTCAGAATATATTATAGGCAGGGCTGGTAGCATTACCTATTATTAAAATTGCCCAATACTTTCCAGTATTTCAGAAGCTAATCATTTTGATGAACTTGAAGCATTTGGGCTGGATTTTTCTGTGCCTGGTGTCTGCTTCTTGACTGACTATTTCAATTTCATTAAAATGTATATGTTGGCCCAATTTAGGCAGATTTGATAGGGACCCCATGCCCAACACAAAGACCATCCCTCTGCCAGATCCCAAGCTCCGTTTGACCCCAGTAATCTTTCCTGCCATGGCAGAGGGTCGGACTAGATG